ACTAACTGAACAACTGAATCATGTGAAGGAAGAATACAGGCCTAAATCAGAGACTCTGGAAAGAGAAAAAGGTACCCCCTCCTTCTGTAGGGGAGGAAACAAGACCTATAGAGATTAATCCTCCGCCCACCTCCCAGAACTAGCTGGTTGCAAAGGTAGGTGGGACACCGCAGGGTAGACATTCAGGCGGGCACCACTTCTCACGTCACTCTGACTGCCCAGAAACCCACATACTGGATCAAAGGACCCCCAAATCCACCTCAGATTGATTCCCTTAAATCAAAATAATCTCATGACACAACAGTTTCATCAAGAAGTAGTGTGATTAGTCAAGGACTCCTGAACCCATTTTTGAACTTTCCAAATCCCTACTTTTAAATTTTTCTTTCCTGTTACGTATGTTACAATACATTCATTATTTGTTGGCAAGGGAAAGGAAAGAAAACATTCACAAGTTAATTTAGAGAGTCAATCACAATTGTAGCAAAAGTTTTATCCCAAGAGGGAATTAAAACAAATGCCGAAAATATTTCAGCCATCCTCTCATATGGTTAAGACCCCACTGCATTGATATATACGTATATGGCATTCTTTTTTTTAATATTCATCATAACAGCTGAGAAAATATGTAAAAAATATGGCAAAGAACCAAAATTCTAGACCTACTCTGGGCCTACCACACTTAGATACCCTTACACGGTGGGCTTTGGGAAGTTACTTTCCCTCTCTAAGCCTCAGTTTCCTCACCTGCAAAATGTGGGTAATAATGGTATTGACTTCAAAGAGTTACTGTAATAATTAAGTGAAAATACATTTTAATGTCATTAAACAGTGCCTGACATATAGTAAAAATCCAATGTGTTAGCCATATATAAAATTCTTATTTTGTGATTACATCTTGTAACTGATTTTTTGCCAAGTTTATGCCACACTTTACTAACATACAAGTTGCCATGAGGTTCTGTAACCAAATAAAGAATCCCCAATTCCTTCCAAATGTTTTCATGCTAAACCATAAAGCATTATTGAATTTTAGCTTTGAGCTCCTGCCCAGAAACTGAAATCAGTAACACAACCTCGTATTCTCTGTATCAAAATAGAGGCAAATATCTTATAAACTAACCTTTACCATCCTCCTGGTGTTCCTTTCACCTCCCTCTTTTCGTCTGTAAAGACGGTCATAATGCTAAAAGATTATTATTCAGAATTTGTGGTAAAGGTAAATGCATTGTGACAAGTTAACATTGTATAAATTATCAGCAGTGACAGCAAGCAATTATACTCCTGCTAAAAAGCAAGACTGCCAACACTTAAAAGCTGGAAAGGTCAGTCCGATCTAAAATGTCATCCAAAATTTGGTTTTAAGAAACATAATACCAATATTTGATTCTTCATAGGAAAAGAGGGCATAACGCCTTACTCCTTGCATAATATATTAGACTGCCTTTTCATGTTACAAAATAGAAATATAGAGTATGTTCCCAGCTTTGTAAAAGTTGTAATAGTTCCTAGTGTGTTTGATTTGTTCATAGGTATTTTTTTTAAAAAATGGGCCCATGGTCAAATAGGTTTCACAAAAGCTGATTTTAAAAAGTGAAGAAGTTTTTTTTATGGCCCTATTTTCAGTCTTTCATAAGCTAATATGCATTATAAAATACCCAAGGAGGGTTACACCATGCAGTGGTTCCCAATATTACTTGTCAATAAGACCTTTATAAAAGAGCACCTCACGGGGCCGGCCCAGTGGCACACTTGGTAGAGTGTGGCACTTGGGAGCGCAGCGGCGCTCCTGCCGAGGGTTCGGATCCCATATAGAGACCGGTCCACTCACTGGTTGAGCGCAGTGCGGGCGCGACTCTGAGGGTTGCGATCCCATTGCCGGTCACGAAAAAAGACAAAAAGGAAAAAAAAAAAGAGCACCTCACTAGCACCAGTGAGGAATTCACCCAGGAAAGACAAATGGATACTTGAAATTACTTAGCCCTTGCCATCTAGCCCAAGATACCATCACTTTTTTTGAAAAGTGAAACTTTTTTTGAAACTTTCTTCTTAGCAGCAACCTCTCAATCAACAATGTCAATGTAAAAAGGTGGGGCCTTTTCCCAGTACTAATCCTTCTCAACTTCAATGACACCATTCATCATTCCTTCCATGAAAATGGCTTTGAGAGGCAGAAGAATGGTGTGGTTAAGACCTGGGAATTTGTCTGGCTGCTCTTAGAGCCCTTGAGCCACCATTTAAGAAATCTGACCAGCCTGCTACACAGCCCCCACTCATCCCAGCCACCCCAGCTGAGGCACCAGATGTCCCAGCCCAGACGGGATCCCAGCTGGGCTCCCAGCTGAACACAGCCAAGTGAGTGACCCCAGCCAATGCCACATGGAGCAGAAGAACCTCCCATGTGAGCCCAGCCATCCCACAGAATTAAATATATCCTTAGAAAGATAAACTGCACAAATTCGTCAAAAAGAAAAATAAAATATTGGAATCCCAGGAGAGTGGGGTAAAAATTTAAGTTCTTCAGGAATAGAGTTCCATGGAGCTCCTGTTGGAGCTCTATTCCAAGAGATGAGAGAAAGCAGATCACACCAGATAGAATGCAGGTACCAAAGGGAATATGTAGACAAAGAATTTTCTGGTTTCAACAGAAAGAAAGATCCACAACATCACAGGAACATGCCCAACATAGTGCAAAGCATACTAGAGTGAAGAAAACTCTTCTAAAGAAACCAGTGATAAAGACACCATCCTCAAAGACTGCACATGGCAGAAATATCTAAGCAAAAACCAAGAACTTGGCAATAAATGCCTGAAATAAAATCAGAACCTCAGCACAGACTATTAAATACAAAACAATGTCCAACCCATGTTAGGAAGCTCCATGCTAGACACTCAGCCATACTGGTACTGGTTAAAAGTTCTCATCTATTCCTTAAGGAAGAGGGACAGATGACTAATAACCCAGAACCTACTGTATATCCTTTATAGTTTGCTTCATTTCCTCTTCTTAAAGTCCTGTATTAAAAATAAAGACCTATAGTTCTTATAAGTACCTGCATCGGTGGATGATAACAGATTTGGGGTTAAGATTCTGATATCCAAAACTGCTTGAACAATTTAATTAAAAAGACAATAATGAGTTTAAATCCAATCTCAGTAGAATTCAAACAAAGGCAATTAACAAATGTCATTTTTCACCTAGCGAAATAGCAAAAATGTTTTCGAAAGGAAAGATAAAATTTGGCGAAGTTTAGGGAAACTGCTGATGAGTAAGTGAATGTGTGCAACTGTTCTGGAAGGTTATGTGAAATACATATTCAAAGCCTCCAACATGTGCATACTATTTGACCTAGATGGCTCACTTGCCTACATTTTTCCCAAGGAAACACTTTAGGGATCAAATGTTTTAGGTATTTAGGATATTTACTGCAACACTGTTTATAATACAAAAAAAAAAAATGTTTAGAAAAAGCTTTCATATACAACAAATGGTTAAATATATAATGTATAATGTATACAATAGCACACAGTAAGTCTCTTAACTGAACTCCACTTAACACATTCACAAAACTCTCCAGGGCCCTTCCTTTCCCATTAGCCACCTGGCCCCACCTGTCCCTACATCATAGGTAGATGTGCAAGATGCTGTATTGAAGGGCCAGTAAATCTCAGGATGGTAGTACAGCATGAAGAGACAAGCTACTATATATTTTTTTTTTCTTTTTTTGTGACCGGTAAGGGTATCATTACCCTTGGCACGGCGGTGTCCGCACCGCGCTCAGCCAGTGAAGCACACCGGCCATCCCTATGTTGGATCCGAACCTGCGGCCCCAGCACTCCCAGCCCCGTACCGCACTCTCCCGAGTGAGCCACAGGGTCGGCCCAAGCTACTATATATTTAACTTATGTTTAATTCTATAAGTTAAATCTGCATGCCTCCAAGAGATAGTTGTGTTTGTTCCCATGACTATTTATGCTCAAGGTAATTGTTGATATTAACTGTGATTCAATAAATATTATATAAACTAATATAAAATTTGTTAAGAAAGGCATTCCAGCTAATTCCAAGGCAGAGCCAAATTTGTGACCACTGATCTGGAACCCACACTAAAGACTGCTTCCTTCTTGGAAGGATCTTTTTCAGAGATTAATTTTTTCTTCTATGTAGCCTGTTTTTTACCTCTCCTAAATTTGATCAAGTTCCCCTCCCATCAAGGAAGAAACTGTCTTGGCTGAAGATTAATGATTGAATGCCTTCCTCTGTGTTCCTAGGTCTCTCTCACACACACACACACACACACACACACACACACTTCATGGAAAAATAGAATTAAACAATCCTATCCAACAATAATATGAATCTCTCCATTAACTTTTTGAAGTACCCTCATATCAGCTCATTTATAGCTAATAAAGTTCATGTGTCAAGTGCTGAGGCTAGTGCCTACCTAGCAAATGGCAAGTGCTCTATAAGCATAAGCTGCTATTGTGATTATTGTTCCTGTTTTTTAATCAGATATATCCCATCCAGCCCCTACCTAGCACGGTGTGCTGATAGCTGTCTGGTGAATGAAAGAATGAATAAATGGTCCTGTGTTTCCTCACCTCGACCATCTCTGAACACTTCCTCGTGATATGGCTTTAGATCTAAAGCTTCCCACAAATCTTTACAGTTGCTGTATCTTTTGTTCAATCCCTTTACCCCAACTTTTCATCTACCCTCTGCTAACAAAAGCTGGGAAACAGAGGGAAGCAAAATACACAGGAATCATGTTGGTGGGCTTTTAGATGACACAGGGGAACAGGTCAGGTTTAAAGAATGTCATCCGAAGTTAAAATAAAAATAAAAATAAAATAATGTCATCCAAATGCCTTGGTAGGAAACCCTGTATATTGATCGTTGTAATATGTGTAAGAAAAAAAATGTGTCCAATTGTGTAAACAGTCATTCTGCCCTAATTCCTTTAGCGGGTGGAAGGCAACGTGGTAGATTCACAAAATTGTTTTGAAAGTATTTATTGTTTAACAGCTCTTTCTCCCCTCAACCCTATCCAACTATTCTCTTCATTCTCTTGTTCTGCTTTTCTGATTATCCTAAAAGCTGAATACATTTCTCCTTCTCTATGGAGGATGAGAAGCAACACTGAACCAATATACTTGACCAGGCCTTCATCAGGCACTACGTTATGTGGATGGAGTGCTGGTTTTCAACAAGTGAGGTTTTCCTAGGGCTCCACAAGGCAGTCCTTTTCCAAGGTCACCGGGGCACTCATGGAGTTGAAATGCCGCTGCCCATCCAAATACAACATGGACTCTGAAACACAAGAAAGATAACCCTGGAGAAACTGGCAAGGCCTCAGAAAATCATCATACAAACACAAGCCTACTTGGGAACGCTGGGACAGCAATGAGAATGCGAAAGCAGTGATGGAGATGCACGTGTACTGTTGAGCCAGGGAGCAGGCCACGACTCCCATCCCTTTCCTTTCCCAGTCACTGACTACCAGTGGCTGGTTGCAGCTGGCACTGCAGACAACACCCAAGAGCGCAGAGCAGCAATAGCCACCAGAGAGCCACGAGGCATTTTTGGCCTTCAGGGTTGCAGAACCTCAAAAGCAAAATCTCCTAAAAACATGCTCTTGGGCTGACAGGCATTAATGCGCTTCCTACGACAAAGTTTGTTTTGTTTCTTTTTTGGTAGCTGGCCAGTACAAGGATCTGAACCCATGACCTTATGAGGCTGCACTCTAACCAACTGAACTAACCAGCCAGCCCCTACAACAACTCAAAAGGAGAAAAACTTCTTCAGAAGTTCTTCCCTTCATTGGGGGACAAGCAATAATCACTGCTTACCTCCGTATGTTCTGGGGAAAACCAAGGGCACTTCTTTTTCTGACATGAATGTGAAATGAAAGACATTGGTGGTTGTATGCTCTTTATTCTGAAGAGAAGCCACTTCACTGTGTACTCTGACTTGAATATAATTGTTCTGAGTAAAGCATACCTAACAGATTACAGACACTATAGTTAGTCAACTGCATTAGGAAGGGGGAAAAGACAGTCATAAGATAAACAGGGGTTTTAGAGTACAGAAACTTCGGTTCTAGGCCCAAATGACAAAAACCTGTATTTCATCTCTCATTACACGCCTACCTGGGAAGAAAGAAAGAGCAATGAGCCAACCTCAACTGGTTTCTGAAACATGATATCATCCACTGCTACCACAAATGGTCGGGAACCACTATTGGAAAAAGGCAGAATTTGGGGTAAATTGCAACACTCAGGTGATCTCGATTTTTTCCCTAACAACCAGCTGAAGCAAAATAAAAATAAACAAAGAATAAACTTAGAGAAGGGGGAAATGATCATACCAGCAAGGAATAAGAGATGCCAGTGTAACTAGATCAGGGCCAAAATCACTATATCTTTTCTCTTCTATATATTATTGCCATATCTTCTCAGCAGGTCTTCAATGTACTAACTTACAAAGTCAGAACAAGAACAATAGCCTTCTAAGAAGATCAAACTCAGCTAGTATCAGTGTGGTATTCATTTAAAAACATAACATATTCCCAAAAACACCTAGTCTCGTCCAAAATGTTTCATTTCAGTGGGGTGGAATAAATTGCTTCTCAGAAGTTAAGACTGCCTTAAATCCAACTCACCCGAAGCTACAAGCAGTAGCCCATGCAAGTTCATATGCTTTCCTCATAAGGAAACCTCCAAAGATCCTATTGAAAATGTTCCGCTCCTATAGGACATAAATATTAATGAATACAAACTTATGGCCACCCTAGTATACAGAACAAAGGAATTAACAATGCCATAGAACGAAGGTCAGTTTAAAGGTATGTCAAGTCAAACATCATGAATGTAAGCTATCCTATTCAGAAGATTTCTCATTAAATTACAATACCTGAGGGTGGCAAATTTCCAAGCTCTTCAGTTTTGAATTTTCCATCCACACTGCATTAGAGGGCAAAACTCGACTCCGAAAACTTATAGTCCTGTACAAATGGAGATTTATTAAACCCCGTTAATGCCATGGTTTTACTGCTGAAAAGGAAAAAAATTGTGAACAATTCCCAATATGCTCAGGCAAGCATGGCTCTGGAGAAGGCCAAGGTTTAAATGCTTTCCCTTGGAATCTCGCCATCCTTACTTACTTTGGATCCAGTGTGTTAAGAAACATCTCATGGATGGTGTTCCTCTCCTCAGCACTGGGAGCCATTTTCAGTAATGATGTCGAGCTGAAGGCAATCCTTCTCCCCTTGTTCACTGGAACATGGGAGAATAGGAGCTATGATCAGGACAGTCACAGTACAGCACACGGGGTCCTGACCTGGAGTGCCTTGGGTCCTACAAAGGCAGTATTTCAAAATTTCAAAACCCCACCAGAAATTATACATGTATCCAAGAGAAAGCTGCAGAGGCCACATAAAACTTCCAATGAGTCTTTGCTTTCAGATAGAAATTATATTGGCTCAGTGAGAGACCACTTGTTGTCATTCTGATCTACAGCCCTGACTGGCAGTTATCCCGTTAATCTGCATTTCCCATTTCATTAAAAATGAGAAAACCAATTAATTCACTTAATAAATATTTTCTGATCAATAAAATCATTCAAGATATGGACTCCAAAGAACAAAAAATAAGGTATTTTTAATACCAATAAATTCTTGGCATGAGTAAGACATTTGACTGGTATAAAGAGTCCACATACAATCTTAAATAATCTCTTCTGCAGTGTGATTAATGTGCTTTTTAAATTTATTTTATTATAAACAAATTAATATACATTCTCCTTGTCTAAAGAGCTCTTCTTCCTCTGGGCTTTCAGGGATGAGTGGATTTACAAATGCCGGCCTAAAGAGAAGAAAAGAAAAGAATACAATATAAGATGTGCCATTATCTAATAAAAGTTGAAGATGACCAATTTCCCATTAGTTTTAAAATCTTCTACTGTTCCTCATGCTTACTGCCTCGCACATGACCACTGAGAAAATTAAGGGAGGCTTCTAGTTATAAACTTACCTGTACAGTAGAAAGTTCACATTATAAAAAGGATACTGCCGCTTGCCAAAATGTTTAACCTGATTCTAATCATGAGGAAACAGTCAAATACAGGATGTAGAACATTCTACCAGACAACTGCCTTGGACTTATCAAAAATGTCAATGTCAAGAAAGACAGAAAATGGGCCGGCCCGGTGGCGCACTGGATAGTGTGCCGCTTGGGAAGCGCGGCGGCGCTCCCGCCCGAGGGTTCGGATCCCACATACAGACCGGTTCCCGCTCACTGGCTGAGC